AGACGGTATCCGCACTGAGCACTTACAACATCATGTATAAGCGGATGCGAACGTATCCGCTCCAACATATGATTCAACTCCTCTTGCTCGGATAGAAAATACGCTGGACGAGACTTTACGAAAGTACAATGTGAGCCAGGGGTCAAGACATGCAGTAGCTGGGCTACGCCTTTGGCTGAGGCACTGTTCCCGAATTGAGCACGATGTGCGTAACACGTAGCCTGTTTTGCTGAGTTTTTCGTCGACAGCCGCTTGAAGCTAGCTATCAGCGAACTCGGAAACTTTTTCTGGAAACCTGAGGAGTCTTGTAGAACGAGTTTTGAGAATTGCCAACTCGACAAAGGGCTCAAACACAACGTGTACTGTACGCATTTCCGCGACGAGGTCTGTTCTTCCCCTGAGCATCGGCTATTCTATAGAAAGCTAACAAACGGGCATTTTCATGCTTTTATCTAAAACAACTAATCTGTTATGACCTTGGAAATTCATTTTTTGAGACAGATTCGTTTAATGACCGTGGTCGTGGCATGAAGAAGCACAGTGGGAGCGAATACACAGCGCTGCGGAGCGAGGACGGTATCCGCACTGAGCACTTACAACATCATGTATAAGCGGAATGCGAACGTATCCGCTCCAACATATGATTCAACTACCCCTTGCTCGGATAGGAAATACGCTGGACGAGACTTTACGAAAGTACAATGTGAGCCAGGGGTCAAGACATGCAGTAGCTGGGCTACACCTTTGGCTGAGGCACTGTTCCCGAATTGAACACGATGTGCGTAACACGTAGCCTGTTTTGCTGAGTTTTTCGTTGACAGCCGCTTGAAGCTGGCTATCAGCGAACTCGGAAACTTTTTCTGGAAACCTGAGGAGTCTTGTAGAACGAGTTTGGGAATTGCCAACTCGACAAAGGGCTCAAACACAACGTGTATTGTACGCATTTCCGCGGCGAGGTCTGTTCTTCACCTGAGCATCGGCTATTCAATAGAAAGCTAACGAACGGGCATTTTCATGCCTTTATCTAAAACAACTAATCTGTTATGACCTTGGAAAGTCATTTTGTGAGACAGATTCGTTCAATGACCGTGGTCGTGGCATGAAGAAGCACAGTGGGAGCGAATACACAGCGCTGCGGAGCGAGGACGGTATCCGCACTGAGCACTTACAACATCATGTATAAGCGGAATGTGACCGTATTCGCTCCAACATATGATTCAACTACCCCTTGCTCGGATAGGAAATACGCTGGACGAGACTTTACGAAAGTACAATGTGAGCCAGGGGTCAAGACATGCAGTGGCTGGGCTACGCCTTTGGCTGAGGCATTTTTTCCGAGTTGAGCACGATGTGCGTAACACGTAGCCTGTTTTGCTGAGTTTTTCGTCGACAGCCGCTTGAAGCTAGCTATCAGCGAACTCGAAAACTTTTTCTGGAAACCTGAGGAGTCTTGTAGAACGAGTTTTGAGAATTGCCAACTCGACAAAGGGCTCAAACACAACGTGTACTGTACGCATTTCCGCGACGAGGTCTGTTTTTCACCTGAGCATCGGCTATTTAATAGAAAGCTAACAAACGGGCATTTTCATGCTTTTATCTAAAACAACTAATCTGTTATGACCTTGGAAATTCATTTTTTGAGACAGATTCGTTTAATGACCGTGGTCGTGGCATGAAGAAGCACAGTGGGAGCGAATACACAGCGCTGCGGAGCGAGGACGGTATCCGCACTGAGCACTTACAACATCATGTATAAGCGGAATGCGAACGTATCCGCTCCAACATATGATTCAACTACCCCTTGCTCGGATAGGAAATACGCTGGACGAGACTTTACGAAAGTACAATGTGAGCCAGGGGTCAAGACATGCAGTAGCTGGGCTACACCTTTGGCTGAGCACTGTTCCCGAGTTGAGCACGATGTGCGTA